GTACGGCCGTTACGTGCATTCAGTCCCTCTGCCGGCCTGTGCATGCACTAGCCATAAATACGAAAAGTTGCATGAGAAGCAGATCAAGATGAGCCTTTCATTGAGAGCTTGACGAAAACGCAGTGCAAGATGAGCTCGTCGTCAAGAACCTTATGGCACACTTTGGCAACACAACAACTTACAATGCTAGTCTTGAGCGATAGCACGTTCCTCAATCACTGACGATGCCGAACAAAAAATCTCATTTGCATCTCAAACGAGTCCAAGGGTTCATAATCCAGATAAACAAACTCATTAGCAATCATCTGCCACTGACGAAATGCCCACACTGCAATGGAGGAGATGAGCAGGGTCTACCCACACTAGGAATTTTCACACTGAGCTCTGGATGTGATTGCGGTCAGATGCATCGCGGTGAGGTCGCAATTGCCGTTAGATACAATTAACGAAGTGCCAGCGCCAGTATACGTGCCCTTATTGTTTGTTTTTGTGAACATGAGCGCTGAAGTCGGGTTGTAATCACATCGAGGAAAGCACATGGACAGGAGTTTTTTCTTTCTTTTCGTTTCTGAAAAAAAAAAAAAAAAACCTGGTCGTCGAGAATGGGCAGGGAATTCCTTTCATTCTGAGCATGGAGAAATTGAAGGAAAGCTTGAAGGTGTGAGATCCTCTCAGCAGTTACAAAAAAAAAGGCGCAGGTACATCAGTTTTCTTCCGTTTGTCCGTCTTTCTCTTTGTCCATCTTGACTGGATTACCCCATCTGCTTACCGGCAAAGAATTTGGTCATCACCAACAACAAAATACTTTGCAAGCTGCAGCAGCACCGTCGTACAAAGCAAACATCCGCACAACATCCCGCCAAAACAATACTGGAATACTGGAGGCTGCGAAGTCGTGGATCCTCACCTGCATCCTGCAAATAGGACCCACTACTACTGAACGCTATAGCGTGTGCAATCTGGACTTTGCCTATGTGCACTCATGGCATCCAAATATTCTCGCCGAGAGCTCGCAGGCGAAATATATTTTGCTGGTTCACAGATTTCCCAAGGTATGACTGGTCTAACTTCGGAGAGCGGAAAGCACAAACGCGTTGAAGCAACTAAGAAAAAGAAAAAAGAAGCATACGCAACTAGGGTTAAGTGCCTGACTGTTCCGTCGGACTTTCGATGACCCGTGGGAAGGATGAAGCTTTGACAGTCTGCAGAATCCCCTAAGGGAGGACACTAATTGTTAGTCCCCCTTGCAACGACCAGTACCCCATCCATCTATCCTGCGTGCACCTCCGAGTTAACCACGTGCTTCTGGAAGGTTCCCCCTACCGGATATTGGCGGTCCCCGGGATGGGCAGAAAATTTCAAAATATTCTATTTTCGTTTTTTTTTGTTGGCCATCGGATATCCAACTGGTCTTTAGAGGTCCTTATTCCTTACGAGACTCCCTCCCTCCCAACCTTCCGCTCCAACCTACCTTATTGAGGCCTTCTCCATGTCAAGCAACAGAATAACAATCTCCCTTTTTCCCGTTGCCAGGTAATGCCTGAATTGTGGACAACATATAGTCCAATATCGATCTATCTTCAACGAAGGGCGAAGGGCCCCTGTTCAATCCCTCCAAAGGAGGAGAGACATTCTCCTGGTCCATTGATGGACAGAGAATATAGAGTTTCCTCCCTTCAGTTATTTTTCCCACTCACCTACTCACAATGCCACCCAGGTCCCCGCCTCGCAGGAGGTTGGGGAGGGGGGGAGGGGGGTTCTTTGCAGGAGGAAGAGGGGGAGGCAGTTGTGCAGGCTTGTGATGAATGGGTACCGAAGGGAGTCTCCCAGTGGCTGGTGACCACCCATCCTGCTTTCCTTGTCATCTCAGTGTCATGTATACCATGTAAATTTTGTGCTTACTTGGGAACAGTAGTTGGACTGGTGCCCCCCATAATAGGAGGAGCGTGTGTGTTTCAAAAAAACAACATATCTTTGGGGCCTTGGGGATACCGAACCACAAAGGCTGGCGGCGCGGGCCAAAAAAAACAAAAACGCTGCGGTGGCGCTTCGGCACCCATTGGCGCGCGGTGTGACTCTGAATCTGAATCGGCAAAAGGAGGCTTCGAGGAAGTCGTGGTTTGAATAAAAGAAGCTTAAAAAAAAACCATTGATACAGGGTATATGCCTAGCTTTCCAGCCTGGGCGCCCAGGACCCCCAGGTCGCCCGGAAGGGCGCCCAGGGCGCCCGGCCAGGCGACCCCCTCGGGCAGGCACCCGGGCACCCTCAGCGCCACCCCCCAAAAACCTCAAAAAAAAAAAAATTGGCACCGCAGGTTTACGGCCCAAAGGGGGAAAAAAAATTAGGCGGCGGCCGCAAAATTTTTCGGGGCCTGGTAGGCCCTGTTTCATGGCTTCTTTTTTTTTTTTGTACCTTGGCCGTCGATCTGCGTCAATCCTCTTATTCTTAGTCTCTTCAGTTCTTTTTCTTCTTTTCGTTTCTTCTTCTACTTTGTCTTGCTCTTTTTCTTGTTGCTCCTCCATCAGTCTTTCCTCCCTCCACATAGTCGCCCTCTCCTTCTTCCACCATCTCCTCCTTCCACATCAGTCTCCCTCTCGCCCCCATCCTACTCCATCAGTAAACCTCCCTCCACATAGTCTCCCTCTCTCCTTCCTCCGCCATAGCTCCCTCTCTCGTCCTCCACATCAGGCTCCTTTCCTCTGCCATAGTCTCCCTCCTGCCTTCTCCTCCTCCATCAGTCTCCCTCCCTCCTCATCCGCCAGAGCCTCCCTCCCTCCCGCCCCTCCTCCTGCCACATGGTCTCCCTCCTCCATCCAGATACATAAATGTGCCCATCCCTCCTCCGTCACAACCTCCCTCCTCCTCTTCCCTCTCCATTGGCTCCCTCGGCCATAGACTCCCCCCCTCTCCACCGCCATAGCCTCCATCCTCCCTCGTCCCTCTACTGCCACAACCTCCATCCTCCCTTCTCCCTCTCCCTCCATAACCTCCTCTTCCCTCCTCCTCCGCCATAACCTCCTTTTCCCCTGTCTCTTATACACATCTAGATGTGTATAAGAGACAGGGGCTTGATGGGCCACCGGATAGCGAAGCAAGACATGAAATCACAGGTTTGTTGCGGTGGTCTCCTGGTCTCCTCTCAAAGGAGAAGTCCAACACATGCAGCGGGGCTTGATGGGCCACCGGATAGCGAAGCAAGACATGAAATCACAGGTGTGTTGCGGTGGTCTCCTGGTCTCCTCTCAAAGGAGAAGTCCAACACATGCAGCGGGGCTTGATGGGCCACCGGATAGCGAAGCAAGACATGAAATCACAGGTGTGTTGCGGTGGTCTCCTGGTCTCCTCTCAAAGGAGAAGTCCAACACATGCAGCGGGGCTTGATGGGCCACCGGATAGCGAAGCAAGACATGAAATCACAGGTGTGTTGCGGTGGTCTCCTGGTCTCCTCTCAAAGGAGAAGTCCAACACATGCAGCGGGGCTTGATGGGCCACCGGATAGCGAAGCAAGACATGAAATCACAGGTGTGTTGCGGTGGTCTCCTGGTCTCCTCTCAAAGGAGAAGTCCAACACATGCAGCGGGGCTTGATGGGCCACCGGATAGCGAAGCAAGACATGAAATCACAGGTATGTTGCGGTGGTCTCCTGGTCTCCTCTCAAAGGAGAAGTCCAACACATGCAGCGGGGCTTGATGGGCCACCGGATAGCGAAGCAAGACATGAAATCACAGGTGTGTTGCGGTGGTCTCCTGGTCTCCTCTCAAAGGAGAAGTCCAACACATGCAGCGGGGCTTGATGGGCCACCGGATAACGAAGCAAGACATGAAATCACAGGTGTGTTGCGGTGGTCTCCTGGTCTCCTCTCAAAGGAGAAGTCCAACACATGCAGCGGGGCTTGATGGGCCACCGGATAACGAAGCACGGCATGAAATCACAGGTGTCTTGTGGCATTATGACTACTGGCTATACGTCGGTCCATCACACCCCGCTGCTTGTGTTGGACCATCAAGGAGAAGGAAAATTTGGAGGAGATGGGGCCCTTAGTACCCCTCACCAACAGTTGCTATTTCTGGATCCCCAGTCTGGCCGTGTCTCGTTTGGGCCTCTGTTGCTACAGACATGTCAAGCGGAAACCAACATAACACAGTTACTTGGAAGACAAGTGTGAATGGATGAGGAAAGGAAAAAATAGTTGTAGTGTAGACACATTAGGAGAGGAACGATGATAGGGTAGAAGGAGCATAGGTAGGTCACCGTGTACAAGTAGGAGAGAGGAGGGGGAGGGTGGGAAGGGAGTCAAACCCGAAAAGGAAAAGGCCGGGGTACTATACACAGACTGAAGGATATTAGGGGAGCCTGAGAGCAGCATGGGCACACTACGTGGAATGTAATGGCACATACAGCGCTAGGTTAAGCACTAAGCGCATGACAAGACTGTAGCAAGTAGCGGGAAGGCAGTCAGTAGGCAAGGTCTCTGGATGTCAGCAAAATGCAAGGGCGGGATGTCAGTGGCAAGCAGAAGGTAGGGATACTACTCGAGGACAGAATACACAACTAGAGTTTGGATGCAGAGCGGTCGGTGAGGCTGCCAGGCGGCTCTCCCCCGCACCCCGCCGTTCACAGGATCCACATGCTGCGTGTCTGGGTGCTACCAGTAAGTGAACCCCCGCAAATGAGTCAAGGTTTGGAGGGAGAACGGCCGAAGTAGGCCCCCCCCTTGTGCAAGCGACTAGAGCTGCAAGGGTGGTTGTACCTGAATCTTGTTGTGTCCACGTACATTTGGCTTGCCGCTGATGAGCAACGGGATTGCCGCCCCCAGAATAGATGGGCCTTTGAAAAAAAAAAAAAAAAAAAAAAAAAAAAGGTCAGAGCCAAAAGCCCATGCACTGAGAAAACAACAGAGTACGACAATTGCACCGCACCTAGCAAACTAGCAATAAGAAACTAGGTTGGAATCTTTGGATGGCATTGAATGACTGAACGCCTTCATGTGAAGTTGGCAGAGTATTGCAAAACTTTATTAACAAACCCTTGTCATTTCCTTTTCAAGTTTTAAAAGTTGAAACCAATCAGACTAGCATCATTCTTGCTGCTGCAATTAGATTCGTCAGTCACTTCTTCGTGGGGAACACATGGCATTAGGCCAGGAATGACACCTTAGTCCTTTACTATGCTGTAACCCTTTTCTCAAGGCGCATACGAGGACACAAAGAAAGATGCCGTATCCAAGCACGCGACTGGAGGAAGACAGAGATCCCGAAGCTGCTAGGCTATGACGACAGAGATCCAGATGCTGCTAGGCTATCTACGCGTTCGTGTTGCCTAATGAACAAGCTACAATCGGCCCTTAACTGAGCAGTATAGTTGGCAATTACCATGATGCCAGGAATCTGGTCAACACACAGCTCATGAATGCCTCTTGTGGCTCCCATAACCTAGTTCAGCCGGTCCATTCCAAAATCGTATACAGTCGGTCAATGAGATGGATCCTGTCGAAGAGGACATGCTAGAACACTAGTGTTGGAAACTGTGCCAACGAAATGTGATGGACAGCAAACCAACGAGAACATCAGAGCCCATGCCCAAGCCTGCAGCATTAACCAGAAGCTGTTAACCAGCAAGCCTGAGCCTGCAGCATTAACCAGAAGCTGTTAACCAGCAAGCCCAAGCCTGCAGCATTAACCAGAAGCTGTTAACCAGCAAGCCCAAGCCTGCAGCATTAACCAGAAGCTGTTAACCAGCAAGCCCTTGTAACTTTGCAGGAAGAGGTAACCAACGAAAGATCAGCGGATACTTTCAACAGGCCCTTTTGTATTCCCTTGCTATTCTCCCGAGCAACCCCGGTCACTGCACTGATAACCAGAAGCTGTTCCCGATTACACTGTGACAAGATGCTTTTCCCCAGATCATCAATTATTGCAGAAATATAATTACAATAGCAGATACAGAAGCTTCACACGCTTGAACCATCTCAGGAGGGAGAGAATGAACCTACCATTGATAAACGGAACCCATTGCGGTTTTCCCTCAGGAAAAGAGGATGAACCTACCCTTGATAAACAGAACCCACTGCAGTTTTCCCTGGAAACAGAAGCACAAGAAAATGCGGTACGCGCTGAAGCGTTTTTCGCAAAAAGTGAGTAGCTGTGCCGGGTTACGCCAGACTGCACAGTCCTGCATTCACCGATCGCAAAACCATACCATATTATACCAATGTTGTCCCAATACGGACGCTAGACATCTTATCCTCATATTTTTACCATTGTACACGGAAACATGCCTTTTTTTGCTTAAACTGGATGAGATCATACATTTCCGATTGGTCTTGCATGGGACTTCATTCACACAGACATAAATCGGATTGACCGCACACTTTCTCACAAGGAGAGCAGGCGCGCGTCCATATGCCGATCTCGTTTGATTGGCATCATTCTCAGTGATCTGCTGGCTGCAAGGCACCTCGTCTTACGACAGGAAGACCTAGAACATGTATGCACTAGAAAGCAAAGGCACTTTTTTCGATAACCATCAGATTAGGTAATAACATCAAACAAACCGATTGCGAATACCTCGAAACAATAGCCAGCATATCCCATTTGGAGTGGACGGCGCAGCTTCGTGTTGCATCTGAGCTGTGCCCGGCAACGGGGCGTACAGCAGCCAGAACGAGCCAGACGTATCATAGATGGCATACTGACTGCCCGGGCTGACCCCAACAACAATCACACCCATAACTCAATTCTGACCTGGCAGCAGCGAAGCTCTCCACGAAACAAGGCTCTAAGCCATTCACAGGGCCACTGATCGAATGACTCCAACTATACTGCAATGGGCAATCCAGGTATATATATATATATGCCTGCTCACCTCATGTTTCACATCGAGGTTGCATCTGTCCACAAATGCATGCGACCGTTGGTTTCTAAGATGCAAAAGAAGTGCCCACGCGGCACGCATCTTCCACCAAGCCAGGTATAAACCTTCCCACGTCTTCCCACCACATGTTCGACATCGAGGAGGCTGGCATCTTGCACAAATGCACGCCACAATCAGTTATTACCAAGATACAAAAGAAACACAGGATTGCGCATGTGGTGTGCGACTTCCACAATACCGCACCGGCCAACCAGTCACTCAAGGCTCCCAAGAAGAGACGTACCTCTGACAGGCAAGAAAGATCAATGACGTGGCTCAGCCGAATATCATCCGAGAAATAGTGCACGCAAGTGATCCACAGCAGCCTGCGCACTGCCCCCATCAAAGAGACAGCTCATGGGAAACTGCGGTTTCGGCCCGCCGAGGCCTCCAAACTGCTCCTTGACAAGCTTCCCAAGTGCACCACCTGGTGCCGTGAACCGCAACCAATCTTCATTCTTCTCTAATATGCCCTGAAGTCCCAGGCCATCACAACAGCACAACACACAGACACAACTGCCAGTCAGCATCTCAGCAATGATACAGCACCAAGAAGTGTAGTGAGTACTACGCCCTCCATTACTAACACCCATCACACTCTTGGAGTTCTCGATCTTCCACACGCCTCCTGGCCAATAACTGGTTGAACCCAACATGAACTCACTCTGCGCTTCCCATAACCAGGTCCACAGTTAATCGCGCGGAGTTATATTCTCCGGTATAACGAAATCCTTTTCAACACCATGGGCACACCGTACTCCTTTTCCAAAAGGGTGACAGTATGGTCATTGAACTGACCGTCCCAAGGTAATTCAGAATTGTAGTATTTTACTTATCTCCTTCCAGTGAAGTTTGAGCTAAGGTCTGCATTTCAACAGTTCAAGCGTGAACCGACGGAGCTACACGCCGCACTACAAAAGGGTGGATGTAGAAACTGGACTACAAATGGTGAGCACAACACTCATCCATAAGTGCGAAGTCAGCGGTAAAGCTCTGACGAGGTATCAGGTGGTGGTCCTTCCTGTGAGGAGCTGGCCCCTCTAGCAATGTTCAAAGGTAGCAAATCAGTGTACGATCTTTGAACGACAGCCTAATGGCATTCCAGCGCAGGCCAGACACCGGCTACTCACATGCCACAGCACACAGCAGAAGCATGCAGTCATTCCCTGTGTTATCTGCTCCGCTTTACTGTGTGCATGCGTCATCTTAGTCAAAAACCACGAGTACTCCAGCACCGAGTTCTGCAGAGAAGAACCACATCCCTAAATTTGCTCCAGAACCGAGTACTGCAAAGAGATGACATTAACTTTTCGTACGAAGAAATCCGCATAACAAAACAGAAGTTGCGAAGGCCAAGCGTTCACCAAGAGCGGGGTTTGAAATTCTTGATAGGTATAACTTGAGGCATACATACCCTGACATTACTGTTGATGTCAGCCACATTCTCGAGGGTTCTACAAAGTACGACAACGTGCCCACAATATCTGTGCATCAGAGCATCACATGGACGAAGGGAGCCACACATATAACACGACAGAAAACGAAGTGCAGCACGGTCAGAGTTTTAGTTCAGTGAACAGCATTCTTCGCAGGACAGTCTCTTCCGTACCCATCCGGTAGAAACACACATATACAAAGAAAGAGAGAGACAAATTGCCTCACAACATGATCATATCGCCCTATTTAGCAGTGATCCGTATCAGCGAGAATTTCCCAATTCTTCAGATTGCAAATGACTTTCCTCTCATCCACTACTACACCACAGCGACAAGAATCTCTTTTTCTTACAGAAAAGTAAATAACTATTACGTATTGCAGCGAACACAGCTGTCCATCCGACAACTACTGTTTCTTTCACTCAGAAAGCAGGTTTTCATTGACGATATCAGACGAAGATAACAACTGCACCGCCTTTCAGCAAAGAGCACAAGACACACGAAATCAACTCTCCAAATTTGATGTGTGCAAAAACGCTGTAACTGGGTAGCAGCACCCAATAATCTGCACATTACACCCCTGGTTGCTGCCAAAGTAGCTCTCTTGCAGCAGTTAAAGAATCTCCCACTAGTATAATATACGAGCAGTAAAGGTAGGCGAGATGGGAAGGAGCGGAGTGTCGCAAGTCAAGGAGTTCAACACAAGTGTGTACCCAAGAAGGGAGTTCTGGCAGGACAGTTATCCATTATCACAACCATTGGTAGTGTTGTTATGGCTATTGTGTGATATTGACAATAGTATCGCACCTGGATGGGCTCGCACAACATTTCTTCAGCAACAAAGGTTTTTCCACATCCTTACCCTGGGCGCTTTCCAATCCGCATGGCCGCGCACTCTCGCCCTGCCTTGGCAAGTTGTGTTGGAAGGCCTTCAGCTCCCTCAAGTACATGTGAGCAAAGAGACGAGTTTGGTCGAGTGAGTACTCCCTGCAATGCAGTTTTGGAAACAAACGTACATCAAAAATACGATAACCAAAAAAAAAAAGGATATAAGCAACTGTTGTACCCAAGGCCTGCAGGGAAACGATGTATAGGCTCAATGAGATAAAAGGGCCCATAGACAGCGACCATCTGGAAGGCTCGTAATTGTTCTCGTTGTTCCAATGACAGACTCTCAAGTGGAAAATATTGAGAAGGATAAAAAGCATATTGTTGCCCAAAGGAATACACCGAAAACAGCCACATTGATCTATCGGCCAGCATATTTGGAGATGGTAGGAGAACCATAGACAACACACAAAGTTGAATCTTAAATACAGATGACACTAACGATCCCCACAACGATAAGAAGCCACCCACAGGAACCGCCTTCATCCCTATGCTCTCCTACCAGCCATCCAGGTCCAGTCCAGCATCGACATCAGCTGTGGTTACACGCCACAAGCCATGCATCCCGTTCCAAGAAAGATCCCAGCAAACAAAGGCACGTGAATTGGCAAATTGTTGAACCGGGCAATGTTCCCAAGCTCACACATTATATCTGCAACAATTGTTAAACTTCAAACAGCACACAAAAGGTCAAACGTCCAAAGATCGATAGGGATTTCCATTTCCGCCTTTTTGCAGCCAACAAAGGCTCCTACTCCCAGCATCTGGGTGTGGGGTGAAGGTAGACAAGTAAGGTGTTCCAGAAGATCAACATTGTTGAATTGGGCGCCTCTTAGAGTAGGTTATTTCCTACTAGATGACCTGTTGCGAGGGGTGATGCATTTATGGTGGACGCAACTGGCCGATCCAAACTCTCTCTCTCTCTCTCTCTCTCTCTCTCTCTCTCTCTCTCTCTCTCTCTCTCTCTCTCTCTCTCTC